TTAGAGGGTACCAATAGCATTTTTCAATTAATAATTGGACCAAAAAATTGAATTTATAAATTGGGTTAGGCTAGGTAGCTAGGCATGGACTTAGCTTGAGAGTTAGAACATTAATCACTAAATTAGTTAATTTGCTAATTTGTTTACAAAAAATTAATTAATTCAATATAAAAAATTAAAATAATTATTTAAATTCAGTTCTTATTCGGTTTTGGGTCTAGAACCGAACCGAACCTGTCGATTCTCGATTCAGATACCCGTTCAGGTATTTAATTTATGAAGAACCGTTCGATTCAGTTCGGAAGTTTTGTCTAGCCCTACTTTTTAGGGTTCGACCCATGATCATGCAAAAACAATGTAATAGCAACCAATCTAATTCCAACATAACTAAGCATTATTTAAAATATTGAACAAGCAATTTTTATGGGAAAATTGATTAATTTACAAAGATACAAATTACCATTGGCACTATCCAAATGCATTGGATAACTAAATTTCTCTGCAGTGCAATCTATTACAGGCACATATTGTGAGTATAACAAAAGTACACACTGAAGAAAATTACAGACTAACCACAATGTACAACCTTAATGGTACGTTTGCTAAGGAAGATTATATAATAATGTTCATTACTTCATGACGTATCGAGTTCTTTATATATGCTCCCGCTTACAGAATTATCAACATTTTCATGTATTGACCGTACTTAACGCTCCCAATATGATGCATCCTGCTTCAACAAGCAAACAAACGATAATAATTTAGCTCGCATCAATGTTATGATTGACCAACGCATAGATTGGGGCAAAGAATTGCCTGGTAACACGTATCGAACATGGTACAACACTCACCTCTCCTGATCTTAACATGCTAATCCCATGACAAATTCCAATATCTCTCTCTTCAACTTCGGCATCAGTGAGGGTGAGTGCTCGTTGCAACTTCCTTGAAGAAAATTCTTCCACATCCACAGTAAAAGAGGCACTCACAGGTCGGTGATCAGATAGCATAAGTTCAGTCCTCCTATAGCTTAGCAATCTCATGCCCGTCCCAAAGGAAAGAATACGATCACACCTGAAAAGATAAAAAACTAAATATAAAATAATTCACGAAACAAAAAAAATCTTTTAACAATTAAGCATATGTTGACATTAGTGGAGCGTGTGCGCGCACACAAAAAACTGATATTATAGTAGAGAGGAACAAAACCAGAGAAACAAGCAGAATTATCACAATTGGACTAAATATATGGTTCAAGACTACTAAAGGGATGGATGCTAGAAACAAATTATTTGGATGTCCACGAGAATCCGAGATCAGACACTTTGCATCATAAAGAACACCACCGAGATATATACATACCATGCAGGAGTTCGCCTCCCAGCCCTCGGGTCCTCTCCAGAATAAGACTTGGAATTTGTCTCATATTTGTAAGTGGGTGCAAAGTTCAAAGTACCTTCAGACCATCCATCAAATGCACGATCTTTTCTGAACTCACTGATTAGCTGCCAATGAAGGAATTTGTGAATGTATTATGGAACAACGTATAAGACAACTTCACATTATATGAAAATTAATTAAGACAAAATAAATGTCGAAAAAGAAGACCATAATTATTTATATCATTGCAGTTCTCAATGCTATTGTGTTTGTCTTCTGTTTTTAACTCGTATGAATTTAGGTGTCAGCAAATAGTGCAGAAGATTCTAGTCTTTAGTCAACATTTCGACAAAAATATATGCTCATAATAGTGAGAAGGACTTGAATATTAATTATTCTATCAATTAAAGAAAACTGAAAAATTCAAGTTTCACCTGATCATACTTAATTAAGTTGGACCAGTCCTTATTGGAGATCAGCTCTCTTGTTTTCTCATAGGACAAATTGATGCGATAATTTAAGTCACCCAGCCAGATTATTCTCCTGCGACCAGATGAAGGTCATTTGAGCAGAGCTACTAATATGGAAGTTGCAAATGGTAAATGATCCTTTCCACATTAATTTTTACAAGTACAGTTGCTGGTCTACTAATTAGATCCTATAACCAAAAATGTATGATACAACAACGGACAAAGTCTCGTTACCAATATTCAAAGTGAACAGAAGTGTCCAAATACTTACGAAAATTGAAAAACATTTACATTGCTGTAAATTCAAGATCAAGAAGCAAATGGTACATGTTAGGCCAGGAATACACGATATTAGACCAAGAAACAAGAAATACCAAAACCTTCTCTGAGATATAGTAAGAAAATTAAAAGAACACAATCGATATATTTTGGCCTAAGCCCCGGAAGTTCGGTGACCGCTTCTATACATTCCCCGTTGAGCATCCAAAAGTTGGATTAAGCTCGGTTCCACTATAACGCCCAAAATGGCAACAAAAGGTTAC